TCTCTCTCTCTCTCTCTCTCTCTCTCTCTCTCTCTCTGTCTCTCTCTGGTGTTAGAGTGCAGAAAATTTCGAATTCGGCAAATTTTAAGAAATTGATCTGTTTCTGCGTTTAAATTGCAATTAAAAAAAAGCGAAGAACGTCATTTTGTCTTCTTTCATGCCTTGTCATTTCATGAAACTCGGAGTAATATTTTTTCTATGAGATAAATGATTCTTTATGGGGGTAGTTTACCCTCTTAATTTCACCACCCGGGGTTGATTTCAATTGTTTTTTCCATTATTCCCTATGAGCTATGTGTTATGGTGAGAAAAATTTAAAAGTTGGCACATTTCCGAAACTCGATTTTTTTTGCCTTTAAATTGCAATTCCAAAAAAATTGCAAAAAAGGTATCCTGTATTTTTTCATGCGGAGTCCAATGAAATTGGTATGATGAAATTCTCAACAAGTTCCTCAATTTTGGATGATCATGGGATATTGGAAAAGAATAACACTCAATCTATTGTCAATTCACGACGTTTCGCTTTTAATCAAAGCTTCATCAGGTTCTGGAAACATACAATGTGCATACCATCAAAATACAGAGAAAATCATCAAAATAATGCATCATCTGTTGTAAATACAAATTCAGTATATCTTCAAGCAAAACAAACTGCCAACATAACCTCCCATGTCAGCACGTCGCGAAATAAAAAACATGGACTCGAATCATAATAAACAAAAACTGAAAAAATCAAAATAAAATACCTTGATGAATTAGAATGTCTGGTCATTATAATATTTAAATAACATAGTGCGAGGCACTCCACCCATTGCAAAATCAAGAAACGCAGTAAATAACGAACAACGACGAATCGCACGACAATCACACCAGCGTGACAATCTGCTAGTCCCACCCCTATTCAGCGTACAGCAAATGCACGCCAGCATTCAGATGGCACCACCTCCTGGGCACCTTCGGGCCACCAGAATTGCCCTATGAAAATCTTCAGTATCGGCTACGCCGCTTCTATTTCGAAAGCAACCCACAGTACATCCGGCTCAAACCCTGGGTGTCCTCCCGCTTGTTGATGCTATCGTTGACGCTGATGTGAATCATCTCTCAGATGTTTCTCTTTTTCCAGTGGCTTTCGGTGTCAAGAATGGAAGCTCGGTCAAACCTAAAGTTATGCCCTTCATCAAAATGGTGGGCCGCCAAAGCCGTTTTTGTATCCTTCACATAGTTGGCAGGTTTACCGTCATTCACATGCTGGCGTACTCGTACTCCCAGCCTCTGCCTCGTTTGACCAATATAACAGCGAGAGCATTCACCTGGGATTTTATAAACGACTTCCGAACGCTCAAGTGTTGGGATCTGATCCTTTAGCCTGATATATAAATCTCCAACTCTCCGAAGATTGTAAAACACGAGCTTGGAGTCGGTGTTCACAAAACAACGGCTCAACTTCTGGCATAACCCATGAACAAGAGGAAATCGGAAACTTCTTCTCGCCCGCACAGGCTCCATTGGTCTGTCAGTCAGATCTTGTCAGATCTTGTCAGATCGTGAAAGAGAAACATCTCAGAGATGATTCACATCAGCATCAACGATAGCATCAACGAGCGGGAGGACATCCAGCGTTTGAGCCGGATGTATTGTGGGTTGCTTTCGAAATGGAAGCGGCTTAGCGGATACTGAAGATTTTCATAGGGCAATGCTCGTGGCCCGAAGGTGCCCAGGAGGTGGTGCCATCTGAATGCTGGGGTCCGTTTGCTGTACGCTGAATAGGGGGGGAGTAGCGGATTGTCACGCTGGTGTGATTGTCGTGCGATTCGTTGTTGTTCGGTGTCTACTGCGTTTCTTGATTTTGCAATGGGTGGAGTGCCTCGCACTATGTTATTTAAATATTATAATGACCGGACATTCTAATTCGTCAAGGTATTTTATTTTGATTTTTTCAGTTTTTGTTTATTGTGATTCGAGTCCATATGTTTTTTATTTCGCGACGTGCTGACGCGGGAGGTTATGTTGGCAGTTTGTGTTGCTTAAAGACATACTGAATTTTTATTTAGATCAGATGATGCATTATTGTAATAATTTTCTCTATATTTTGATGGTATGCACATTGTTTGTTTCCAGAACCTGATGAAGCTTTGATTAAAAGCGAAACGTCGTGAATTGACAATAGATTGAGTGTTGTTATTCTTTTCCAATATCCCATGATCCAAAATTGAGGAATTTCAACTAACCATGGAAATGAACATTGAGATACGAATTCGGAACAAGTTTTTTTTTAATAAAAAAAAGACTTCACAGGGGTAGTTTACCCCCCAAATTTCGCACCACGGGGATGATTTCAATTTCTATTTTCATAATTTTCCATTAGCTTCCTGTTATATTGCAAAACATTTACCTAAACATTCTCCTTATCGGCGCAATTGAAAAAAATACCCCGAGAGGTGGTCACCTTCGGAGGGCAGTTTCACCCTCTAAACTCGCGTATGGGCAAATAAAAAAAAATACGTGTCACTTAATTTTGAGTCCTCTATAACGTATATAAAGTTCATCAAAATGGGGAGGAGGGGCACCTACCTAGTGTCCCTTGTCAGTCAAAACGCTTACTCGAGCTTGAGGTCAACCTGGTATGAACGATCGTTATATTCGGGTTACTGGATTCAGCTTTTACTGAACCTAAGTATAAGCTTAGTCTCTGTAAGCTCAGTGCGCTGAGGCTTATCCTAGCCTGAGTTCAGCTTGGTATGTGTCATCCTTACTAAGCCAATACTGATTTGACCCTTGAGCTGAGCAGCCGGAAAAAAGCCAAGGTCTTCCGACGGTATTCCAAGGGATCTTAACATAGCCTAACTGGATTAAGCCTCGACCAAGCCTGAATATAAACTCAGTTTATTGAGGCTCAATGGGTTTGGGCTCACGTGAGCCTGCACTGAATCTGATATGTCGCAGCCTCAACAACCAAAGGTTGGTTCTGGCCTATATAGATATGCGTATCGCGGAGTCTCAGGGAAACAAGGTTCCCCCAGGCTTGGCCCCATCGTCGAGCCTTTGAATTCTTACATGGGGAATATAAAGCCGATAAAGAAGCCAATTTCAGTAATTATAAAAACCATTGAACGGAAATATAAACAGCGAAACGGGAATAGGAAATATAGCTCCTGAAATAAATGCCAGGTAGTTAGGAGGAAACTGGCAGCCCCGCAAGTAACAAAGGGGTGAGTGGAGTGATGATCATTCGGAAGCATATTGCACATTTATTAGCAAAATATCTATATCATAAGAAGATAAGAGCCATTTCCCACTTATTTTAACAGAGGATCACGAAATGAAAGAAGAGCTTACCTTGAAACTGTGTGAGCGTATCAGCACGAAGACGATATCGGGGTATTTGTTCCTCAAGTAGACTTATTATCTCCACTTCTGGAAGCTCTTCTCCGCTGCACACCTCTGTAAACAATTGCAAGATCCAACCGTTAGGAATTACTTAACCCTGGGTGGTCGCGGTATTTCGGAACTGCAGCAGTTTTTCGATTTTTTTTCTCACATGAAAACCCCATAACTGAAAAATTTATGAAGATTTGTATTCCAATTCTCACCTAAACTGAACGTATGGAGAATTTTTTTTTGATCCATACTTGCACCAGTCAATTATCAGAAACTTCTGAACACTGGACTCAAAAAAAATTCCCGTCTTTGACCTCTTATATATCAAAGTTTTGTACCAAATGAAATTGAATTATAGGATTATCCCTCCACTATTCTTATTTGATATCTCCATTTCTTTTTCCTTGAAGGTTCAAAATTACTCGTAAACTATAAATAAACAATTTTTTCTCATTTCTTTTTTTATAAAAATTGCAAAATACAGAAGTTGCGTATCGCCCACCGTGCGACCAACAACGTTCGGTAAAGAGTTGCAACTACGCAAGGGTTAATGAACATGAGCGTGTAATATGTAGGAGGAATTCCCTCTCCTGATATCAGGACTTTCGTTCACATTGGTTGTTGCTGGAAGCAGCTAATGAGGATGGAAGAAATCGAAATACGCACTTTATAGATAGTGTCCTATGCATGTATAATATTGTAAAGAATGGGCACATTTCATAATAACTAACTGTTTATTAAAAATTTTGGGGCGAAATAAATAATAAAAAGAAAATGGATCTTCCCGAGGATAAATCGTCTCGAGGATCAACAATTGAATCGAAAAAATCGTCTGAAATTAGTTGTGGCTATCAACTAAAATCAGAATAATGAAAAAAATGCAAATACCTGTAGAGTGTATTATTTTGTTAAAAACAGCAAGCCGAAATATCAACGACCTTCCACTTTACATGAGCAGGTCCCCAAATCTGAACAACAGTTTCGTTGCATTTATTTTTGATTACAAAAAGGATGAAGTCAACTTGGAGACCAAGTTGACCTCACCTCGTTGAACTGATGAAGAGAATCATCGATAGATAAAATTCTTCATTTCAATATGCGATGAAAATTATCGCGGGTATGGCAAAATTGGGTATTTAATTGAATTTTGTTTGGATGTAGGTGTAGGTTAAAAGAAAGTGAGGGTTTCATGGCAAGGTTTCTGAATGCCATTGGTTAGGACAAGCTTCATTACATGTTTTGAAGTGTTGTGGAAATAACGTGTGAGGTTCAAAAGAAAGTGACTTGTCTTTTGCATTTTCCATGATTTCATTCCGTAGATTTTGAATACTCTGGGATCCTAATCCGGTCCGTAGTTTTGAGGGGAATATTTCTCTCGATCGACGTACCCATGTTAAATGCGTTTACGGTTCAATTTACTAATAAATCACGCGTGAGTAGAAAGAAAATCGCGACACTTCTGACGCCAATGTAAAGAATGGGCACATTTTATAATGACTAACTGTTTATTAAAGATTTGAGGGCGAAATAAATAATAAAAAGAAATACAACAAGGATTGACACGTCCGCGGACTAGAAAACAAGATAAAAGAATAATGGAAAGAAAGAGACGATCGTACAGAAAGGTGGTTGAGAGAGCCCGGTGGTCTGGCGTAGTGGTTAAGGCCGTTGCCTCACAACGGATAGGTTCCAGGTTCGATTCCTGGCCGGGTAGAATGGTGAGATCTAACCATTTTTAAAGTCTTGATCAATCGCCATATAGTCTCATCAGACTCGAAGCGATATAAAATAAGCATAAAAAAAAAAAAAAAAAAAAGGTGGTTGAGAGGGAGAAAAATGGCAAATACGTAACAATACTGTGACGGCGATTTCCAGACAAACCAAGCAAAATCCAAAGTTCTCCATCCTCAACGAAAATCCTTGAACGAAGATAGCCGAAGTTTGTCACCTTCGGCCTCTTCCGCTCCAATTTCCCCAGAATCCTCCGAAACCAAAACGATAAAATGCCAGCTACTCTTGTGAGAAACGGTGGTTGGGCGCCAGTCGATTTTTAGCAACGCGGAATCAACAAAACCACAACCGTAGACGTAAGGAAACGAAGCGAGAGAAACGAAAATATAACTGGGAGTTGAGAAAATCAGAGGGAGAGGTTGTAGAATTAAGCTTAGCTTGTCCGAGAGCAAAATCAGAGAGCGGGTTGGATTCGGTCGCTCGGTGTTAGGAAAGGCGTCGCAAATATAGAGAAAGAACGAGAAATCCAATCAGAAATAAAATTGAGTTAAAATCCCCTTAATTCTCTAAAAATCGGGAAATCCAAAAATAAAGAGACTTTGATTAAATGGAGAAAATATCTTGCATTTAATTTACCCATGTGACTCAAATACAAGTTGGTATGCTAGGCAGGGTCTGTATAGTAGTTCGCCAAAGCGCCACCAGATGTGCCATAAGTCGTGGAAGGTTCTGGAATGGTGGCCCGATCATCGCGGTAGGTTCTAGAATGATGACGTTATCGATGAGTCATTCTGACTGATGGGGGTACTTTCTCGAATTTTCTAGACGAATGACGTCATCGATGAGTCATCCACATCAACTCGGCGGCGTGGTGGGAGAACTTCCTGAGTCCTGTTGGGACTCGTATGAAATATGATACTAGTGGCGGCGCCACCGTCATTGACTTTTCTAGACGGATGACGTCATCGATGAGTCATCGACTCGCGTGGTGGAGGAATCCCTCTAAGACCTGTTGGGACTTGTATGAAATGTAATGACCTCTTGAAACTTGTATGAAATCGAATATTGGCGCCACCGTCGCGAAAGGTTCGAGATGGATGACGTCATCGATGAGTCATCGACTCGCTTGGTGGGGGAACCGTCCTGGTGGGACTTATATGAAATATAATACTATGAAAACCTGTGGACACATGGATAAAATTAGATATTGCCCCCACAATCGCGGAAATTTGGAGATGAATGACGTCATCGATGAGTCACTCAGGCTGGTCACTCATTTACTTACACGGTGAGGGAACTCCCCGAAAGTCCTAAACATGTGCAAATATTTAATAACATTTGCAAACATTTTGTAAACATTTGCGAACATTCTGCAAACATTTTGCAAACATTTGACATAACTTGCAAACATTCTGCAAACATTTTGCAGACATTTGCAAACATTGGAAAACATTTGTAAACATTTACAAACATATGCAAACATGTGCAAATATGTGAAAACAATGGTTGAATATTTTCAAGATGAACGACATCGGTGAGTCACTTAGAGTGATAAATCATCGATGTGCGAGGTGGGGGTTTCCTGTAAGTCCTGCTAAGCCTTGTACATTCGAGACGGATGACGTCATCGATGACTCATCACGCGGTGGGGGGTGTTTCCTAAGTCCTGTTGGGACTTGTATGGAATATGATACTAGTGGTGGAGCCACCGTTATGGAATTTTCTAGATGGATGATGTCATCGATGAGTCATTCGGAGCGTCGGCTGATGACTCATGGATTCGCGCGTGGTGGGGGTACTTCCTAAATCCTGTTGGGACTTCTATGATACCATAATGACGGGTTGGAACTTGTAAGAAATTGTATATAGGCGCTACGATTGCGGAACGTTCGAGACGGATGATGTCATCAACGACTCATCGGTTCGTGGGGTGGGGGTGTCGGCTGAGTCCTGTTGAGACTTGCATGAAATAGGATATTCGATTGGTCTCGAATATTCTCGATGGTTCCCGACTGTTCCATGATGAATCATCCATTGGGAGTTGGAGTGGGGATAACTCGCGCATTCTGCACGATCCACACTCAATACAAAGTCAAGTTCAGTTTACTGAATCTCAACTCGTAGCGTGAAGTTTACCTCATGGTTTTTGAAATCGTTATAATATCGTTTTCAATAGTTTTACAATTCTTCCAAATTTGCTATTACTCAGATTGCTCGAGATCATGATCGTTTTAGACGTCGAATAAGTTCATGTGAAGAAATATTGAACCCTATATTATCAAAACAACATAGACAAACTCTTTTTGAAACTCGTTTCACATAGTTCTAAGTTATGTTTTATGAGAAATGGATGTGTATAATAATAAGATCAGCTCGGTTCCACCGTATTGTCTCACGGAAGATGATGTACTGTCTCACGAAAGAAAATCGCTCCTAATCATGATCTTAAAAGTTGAATAAGTTTTCATGAAGAATATTTAATGCTATATTATCAGAAAAATATAGACGGAATATATTTAATACTCATTTTAAAATAACTGTATGATAATTGTTAGAAAACAAGTATACATAAAACAATAGAAACGCTTCGTTAAATGTTGAAAAAGTTTATTCATTCATTCAAATGTGTACGTTATTACCATTATTATTATTATGAGAAACAATCTGAGAATATATATATAATTACACAAGTGGTTCGAAATAACCCCAAGGTAGAGTATCTGTTGTATGGAGTGAAATCATACGTTTATCATCTTCGCAACTCAAAACCATCTTATGCTAGCAGGTTGTGTGCACCTCATGTTTTTCGCTCTGGATTCAATACTGATTCTTGATAATGTGCTCATTACCAAAAAGACAATTTTTATAATCATTGAATGTGCTTTTCCTGAGTGTAGCAGCTTTAACACCTTCAGGTTTCTTCTTAGCTTTCCCATCATTCAACATCCTAAATACGTATGTTTTAGCTCGTAGACCTACAAATTCAACCGTGATTCGACCATTATTCTCATCCTTCATGAGTCCTAATACTTTCTTGTTTGCGAGCGGCATTCTATACTCAATATTCTCTTTATAGTCAGATGTATCGAACATGTATACGTCTTATTTTATAGACTCATAGATATTTGGTACTTGAAACAGATAGAGTAAGCTATCTGTATCGATATATATGAGTTTTGCTGAATCCCCAAATTTACACTTAACATAGTTCTGATAGAAGTAATATATAATCGCTTTTGATAAATCGAGGATCATAAATCCAATATGGATGGGTTTCTTGAAATATACGGATGTTCCATTCATTCATTATCATCAAACACCATACAGCTATG